ATTCTGCCTGAGGGTGAGGCTTTTATGCTGAGCCTTTTATTATTATTACTAGTACTTAGTAAGTGGCGTTTATTATCATGACTATGAGGCAAAGTAACCTTTTATTAAAAATAGTGCCTTTTATTTTAATGAAAGTAGTGTTTATTATTGCAACTATTAAGCAAAGTAAGTTCTTAACAGCTGAACCGGGTGGGTGGGCTTGCCTGTACCTTTCCTGGAAGAGAGAGCATTTGGGGAAGTGAGGGGAATAGTAGTAGTCTTCGGTGGATAGAAAAGAGTCCCTCTTGGCAAGGTTTCTGAGGCCCTTGGAATCCACTCACTGCATCCACCTTCTGGCTGACACTGGGGTGGAGCTGGAAAAAGAACACGGTCAATTCTATCAAAGCAACGAGGTGGCATCTCCTCCCCGCAAAAAATAACAAAAGAGCGAACATGCTGGTGAGGCTTTGGAGAGGCTGGGGCTCTCATACTCTGCTGGTGAAGGTGAAAGCAGTTTGGAGCAGCAGGAACTCGAGACGTCATTTGATCCACCAACCTTCCTCCTCACTAGGTCACTATCCAACCAAATCAGGCCGTGATACAAGTGTGTGATGTAGGAAATACACACTCAGGTTTATGGCCACGTTATTTGGAACAGCAGAGTGGAAACGACCCAAGTGTCCATCAGTTGATGAGTGGATAAAGATTTGTCTCACACAGTGGAGTATGTTGTTGCCATTGAGTTGAGCACGACTCACAGCGACCTTATCTCTGAACGATAACCCAGAACAAATTATGCTGTAAAGTCATTGACGAAAGGACAATAATGATAGAAGATCGCTGTTACACAAAGTTAAGGAAAATGTTTACACATGGATGGAAAAAACCTTGCAGGTTTAATAGGGTTGAGAAGGGAGGAAGGGGGAAGAAAAATGAATACAGAGAAAAATCGGGTGAAGGGAAAGGCAATATACAATAAGGGATTGATTAGCTATTATAATTATCACATTAATTAATGGTAATTAATGTTCTAAAGTAAAAGGTCTATGAGTGATTGTATGAAATAGCAGTACAGTTTGTAAATAGTGGGGGGGGGGCGGGAAGGACATAGCCTGTTTTGCTCCCTAACAGCCTGTCCACACCACCCTCAATGAGCTTGCAGCCTCAGCTGCACCCCACAGACCAGGCCGCGTCCAGTCAAGGATGACAGTGTCCTAGAAGGCAGTGAACGATCCATCTGTCCATTTGATGAATGGAAAAACTGTGATCAGGAATGAAAGCCCCTAAGGGCATGCAGTGAACAGAGACAGAGGTGGGATTGAACCCAAAGCAGGTAGAGGTGACAGAGCCCAGAATTTCAAAAGGCTTCCTCACACCCCAGACTCCCGGTACTCTGGGCTCCAGGGCCCAGCCCTCAGAAGGGATGATGGCTTGAGCCAGCAGACCCCGACCCCACTGACCCTGTAAGCAGCCTTCAAAGGAGGCAGAAATGCGTTATCTTGCTTGCACTATTTCTTTGGAATAAATTTCTAACTTGCTCAGCTGCACAATCAACACTCTTTTTTTAAAAAAAAATCATTTATTTTGTGTGTGTGTGTGTGTGTGTGTGTGTGTGTGTACCATCAAATCGGATCTGACTGATACAGGAGTAGATTGCTCCTCCTTCTCCGGCAGAGCATCTGGTGGATTCGAACCATGCACCTCTGGGATTGCAGTGCAGCTTCTTGCCACTAGGCCACCAGAGTTTGCCCACAATCAACACTCTTGGCACTGTTGTTGTTGTTGTCATGTGCCGTCGAGTTGCTTGCAACTCATAGTACAACAGCCCTAAACCCTGCTCTGTCCTGTGCCAATCGCACTGTCTCCGATACACCCATCCCGATT